ATATAATTATACAATAAAATATTAACGTGCTTTACAAAAGTAGATAGCACATTCCCTACCCTAAAAACTTACAAGTTGTTCATTAACGGACTCTTCTCTGAGGGATATCATGTTACCCAGTATGCTAGTTGCCTTTTTCTAATGCTGCTACAAACTATACTTACCATTTCCAGGAGTTTCCAACATCCCTCCATAATGTCAGTGGAGAAACAAAATGTCAGAAGGCATTATGTGTCTGTCCTTGATTTAAAAGTTCAGAAGAACAGCATCCTTCTAGAAAGTAGAATAAACAGTGTATTTCAAATATATTTAGTCTTCATGGATAATTGTACTCATTTCAAGTCATATAGTCTGAATTATTACATTGATATCCAAAACAGTAAGGTTAGACAAAGGTTGTTTTTTTATTTTAAAATTGGTTTTTGTTTTGTTTTGTTTTTCTGTTCAAATAGGTATCAACTGTTAAACAACCACTTTCCCCATGAACTTTTTGCTACTGCATGCAAAACACTGCATTTGTGCACTTACCGATTAATGTGAACAGTATCCCGCACCCATCATCAACTTTTTACATAAATTATTATTCAGTATTGCTCTTTGTAGGCTTTCTGACTCTCTCGTTAGGATAGAGTGTTTTGGCACAAAAATAAAAAGGCAGTTTGTTTTTCAACTGAATGAAAATTGGTGTCAGAATAGCACTGCATTGCGCTGTGTGTTGCTTATGAATGGGGCACATTTAAATTCTTTAGCTTAAGTTTGAGCCTCTGACCCCAACAGTACAAAATGTCTTAGTTAACCAAGATTTTGCTTGCTAGCATTCAAGTAGCTTTCATACTTGTAATTAAAAAGTGCCCATTTAAAACTAAATCTCAATAGATTAATCCAGGGTAATTTTATTTTTACAAAGCAGCTATACAGTAGTTAAAACACTATTACCCTTGATTTCAAGACAGTTATGGATAATTTATTGTTAGCTAACTGGATTGTTACATCTGTCCAGTAAAACAGTTAATTTTGGTTTATTTGCATATTGCAATCCTATTGGTATTCTCCAACTTGCATGGCCTTCTAGGTTTTAAATTCTGGTAGACTTTGAATTCTAGAACAAGAGATGATGAAAGCTTCTGTTATGGGTTCTGAGTTCTCCCATTGTCTAATATTTCTTAATGTGTTAGGGTTAAAATGACATCCTGGATTGTGAAAACTATTGCCCATATGATATTGAAATTTTGAGCATTAGTTATTTTCAAGTCAAGAAATATTAGTTTTCTACTCAAAGGTGACAGCTCTGCATGTTTTATTTAAATTTAAACTTCTAAAAAAACCTTATATTTACTTTCTTTCAACTCCTTGGCTTGCCATTATCAGTAACAAGGTCAGTTTTGTTGAACTGAATGTTAGCATATCCCTGTTCCTGAGGACTTTACATTTCAGGATAAATCCGTCTGAGGGCTCTGCTTAGGTTATTGAGCCTTTTTTGCTAAGGCAAGAAAACCCTTGTTGAGAAGCATGAAAAGTCAGTGGCATAATTTGTTGTGATCATTCCCACTGTCTTGATTGATGGCAGTAAGAGAGGAGTTGACATCACCAGTAGATATTTTTGTGACTGTTGATCAGTGTATGGGTAAGAGCACTGAACTATTTAGATCCTATGAATATATTTTAGTTAATTGAATTATGATTTGAAGTACGAGGTGGGCATTTTGTATCTTGTGTTACCTAAATTTACACATCCTTAAGCTGCCCCTCTGGCAAAATCCTATTTTCCAAGTACCCAACATCTTTGGTTTTTTACATTGCAATTTTGAAGGCACCTGATTTGCAGCAGCCACATGTATAGCTTTAATTGAGCTAGGTCTTTACGTTGTAAGATCAGTATTTTAAAACCCCCCCAGGGGACTAAGATATCCCAGAAATATTTCTCAAAAAGTACAAATACAGGCCAGCTTAATGTTCTAATGGCAGTGTAACACAGGGATCCAAAATCAGGATATGATTCAGTCTGGAGTACCTGCACCAAGAAGGTGGAGAGATGAAACAACACGGTGTGTCTGACTAGTGATTTTGTTTGACCTTGCTCAAAGTGCTGGGGATAGACTTCACAGAATGCTTCGTCCATGAGGCCAGAGCTTAGTGAGTGAAAGAGGAAATAGAGGACCCAGTTCAATATGCTTCCCCTTCCTCAAAACAGGGAAGATATTATGTGAGAGGGGGAAAATGATCAGATGAAAACAATTTGAATTAGAGCATGGATTTACAAAATATAGGTACCAGTAGATGGTGCTATTGCACACTGTAAACTTGTATTTGTGTGTGTGGGAAATAGAATAGACAAGATCTCTTGCTGGTTGCCAGTTTCACAGTAATTGACCTCAGGCTTTTCTTTACTATATTTCACTTATTTGGAAATACACACTCTTAGTATTTTCCCCTATAAAGAAACCTTTTGTGTTCTCCGATGGAACAGCAGTAATGTGCTCTAAGGCAGGGGTCCCTTAGGGGGCCGTGGGCAGGTTTCAGGGGGACCGCCAAGCATGGCCAACATTAGACTCTCTAGGGCCCAGTGCAGAAAGTCAAAGCCCTGCAGCAAGGGACTGCAGCCCAGGACTCTGAGCCTCACCACCCAGGGCTGAAGCTGAAGCCTGAGCAACTTAGCTTTGTGGTGCCCCTGTGTTGTGGGGCCCAGAGCAACTGACCTGCTTGCTACCCCTTAATGCTACCCCTGGCTTTTATATGCAGAAAAAACAGCTGTTGTGGCACAGCTGGGCCATGGAGTTTTTATTGCATGGGGGGGCGAGGGGGGGACTCAGAAAGAAAAAGGTTGGGACCCTCTGCTCTAAGGCTTAATTTTCCTCAAGTATGTTGGGTTTAAGGAGATAAAATTAATTAATAGCTCTTAACATTCAAGTACTTTAGATCTAAACAAAACTTCATGTTTTTCCTTTTAAGAAAGAGGAATTGAGCAGCTAGGAAAAACAATAACCTCAAATAAAACCAGAAACCAGCAAAAGCATTTCTTTTTTGGAGTATTTCAGACTTCACATGGAGTTAATGGATAATGTTGATAATATGGTATTAATTAGCTGTGCCTAGTATCCTTGACTACCTATCCCAGTAAGCTTTTAAAATGTAAATAGTAGTTAGGTTATTGGTTAACAAGAGGGAGAATAAAAGCCATTAAGCACTTAACTGAAGTGTTCGTAATTTTTCACTGGGGTTTCTATGCATCATTTAGAGTCAGCTTGGCTTTCTGAGGTGTAGAGTGCTGTGTAACTTATTGCGCAGTTGAGCAGAAAATTTAAATGGGCAAGCTCCTGTCTCCTCTATGTGGATGTTAAAGATTTCATAACTCTTAAAGATTTTCCTGGGAGACATTGTGCATTGTTTCTCCTCCGCCCCTTGTTGTGCGATGTGTGCTATGTACCCTTGTTTTCTGTCTGGCTGCTGCCCCCTAATCCAGAAATAGTTGAACTTTAGTGGTGACATGATTCCTGTAGGTGTTTAATTTGTAAAGTACTTCCTTTGGGGGAGAGATGCTACATAAATGTAAATTCGTTTTAAATTACATAATTACCTTATTTTTTAAGGCCTCAGTACTTCAGTGTTCTGAGCACTCTGGCCACAGTTTAGTAAAACATATAAGCATGTGCTTAAATGTTTTGCAGGATCAGGGCCAAAGTGATCAGCACCTTGCAGATTGAGCCTTCCATGTGTGTTGATTTTAAAAACACTTAAACTACTTAACATCTTAAAATAACACATTTTAAAACTTAACCTAATAACAGTGTTTCTCTTCAGTTCTAGTAGTATAGGAGAACCAGCCTTCTTAAAGTGCAGTCCTGAAAAACGATCAGTTTTGTGTTCACGATCGCTCACCTCTCTTGTCTGAAAATGATTTTAAGGCAGCTTCTTTTCTTTACTGCTACTCTATAGCACTGGTCTTGTTCTAGAGGTTCAGCTCCTAATAAATCTTAAAATTGTTTGGCATAAGGGGAAGATATTTTTTTGTTATTTGAAGTTGCTCTTCATAGTTTTGTGATTCCCAGGTTCTCTGGTTTCCAAAGCTTACCTTTGCAAGTGGGACTATATGACTGAATAGATCATCTATTTTTTCAAAAGGGTTTACAGGAACTTGTTAAACTTTTAGAAACAGATCAAGTGCTGAGCTTAGTGTTTCAAAGTGAAAGGAACAAGGAGAAAAGAAAGATCAATCAAAATATAAACAGTACACTAAAACAACTAAAAAGTGAAAAGATGGGGAGAAAATAGTGACAGCAACACATGAGAATGGTAATGAGGGGATGTAGTCAAGGAAAACTTACAGGGAAATAAGGTAGAGTTTTTAACAATTTGTAAAATAAATGCTTATATACTGAGACTGAAAAAAGGTGAATTTCTGCTACATTATTTTAGCTTGTTTTTTCCCCACAGCTGGTTACAGTATATGCATGATGGCCTTCTCTGGAGCTTTCTTTTAATTAGTAGCACTGTTACAGCTGTTCGGATGTTAGTTTGCTTAACAGTATAGGATTTTTTGTCTCACCGGTATGTTTGCCTCTTAATGTATATTTCTGGTTATCTATGGGAGTTGTCTGCACTCCTGCAGGAAATGTTATCATTTAGAACACTGACAGGCTTCTTAATTGCCTTCTGAATTTCTCTTGCATATAGAAATTCATGAAGGATTGCAGTACATATTACTATAGAAGCTCTGCTCAGCGTTCCATAGTTAAGGTTGAGTTGAGTTTTGCACTTAAAGCAGGAATATCTAAAGGAAATCAAATATTGTAATAGGAAGTAGCAATATAACTAGTAAAAGTATAAGCCAATACACTGTATATGTAACTATACATATATGCCCATAGTCATGCATTGTCCTTTCCACACACAAATTGGTAGTTGTATGTATATCTGTGGGCATAAATAAATTTTTATATAACTTGAATTAGATCTGTGCTTTGTCCTCTCATCTTATACATGTGTGTAACTTTTGTTTACAGGTTGGATTTGCTACCATTTTATGCAAGGCTGGTTGCCACATTGCATCCCTGTATGTCTGATGTAGCAGAGGATCTTTGTTCCATGCTGAAAGGGGATTTCAGATTTCATGTATGTTTGGTTTGTTTTACTGCATACAGATTAAGAAATCTGATATACCATCTTTTGAAAAAAAAAATGCTTGTTATAAGTTATATTATTTTCACTAAAGCAAATGCTGACTCAAACATAACAGAATAGTCAGGTAGCTCAGAAGTCTTATTTTCTAATCATATTGCTTTGTTATAGTATGTTGGATTCATTTGTACATTGAATAACCTTTTTGTCAGACTGCATGTCATTTATTTATACACGTTCATATAGTGTCTTCTTCAAGCTCCAATGTTAAACCACAATCAAACTTAGTTCAGATGGTAGCATGACTTAGAAATTACATAAAAGCTAGGGCAGAAGCTGCAAAAACTAGAAATAATGTTATAGAATAGAATTTATAGTTCACAGTTAAAATTGACATTGACCTGTATTAATAGCAGTTTGTTTGTTTACAAAAAGATGTCTGCTATATATTGTGCTTTCAGTCCTACTACATCCATCTTGGAAAATGTCAAGAAAGATAAATATTGGAATGTAAGAAGGATAGAAATCTGAGAACATAGTTCTTCACAGTTATTTTTCAGTCTTGTTTCCTGCACTATATTTAAATTTGATTATAAAATTATGATGGACAACTGCTATTTTTTCAATGTTTCCCCCTGAACTTTATTATGGATCTCTCAAAATCTGTTTTTTCTAGTGGCATCCGTTAACAGAACAAATACATGGACTATTTAAATGTATAGTAGTTTTTAAAAATTAACTTAAGTTAATTATTGTTTATGCTAAAGCCAAAGCATCAGTTTGAGTGTAGGGAGAATTCCATTATTTGTATTTTATTAAATAATATTTTGATTAGTGTCCATCAGTACATTTTAAAAATTTCTTTTAATGAAACGGTCATCACTTTGGTTAAGACAGTCCTGTTAACTCTCCCAATTTGGTTTGAAGACTCCTGATTTTGGTTGCTCCCTTCAGAACACTAACTATAGACTCCACCTATAGCATGCTACAGTGATATTGGGCAGGGTGATGTAAAGTGTCACACTAGCCACGTTTCTAAGGCTATCAGTATTTTGGGGGACCATGTTCTAGGTAGGAAGAAAGTTCAGAGATGGAGACATTGAAGAGCCAGAGCAGAGATGATGGGAGGCGGGAAGAGGGGGAAGTTGTAGTGTTAGCCAAATCAGGGGAATGGAGGAAGTTTGAGTGGAGTAGCCAAATTAGAGGGGGAAGGTGGGGAGCCAGAGATAGGTGAAGACATAGTCGGGGGGGAATCAGACTGGAAATTTCCAACTTTCTGAACTCTCAGCCTTAACAAGTATGCTAAATGAAAGGAAATATATGTACCTTTTATGTATTTCTAATATTTCTGAGACCCTAAAATTAAATGCATTTATATTTCCCTCTTTATTTAGGTGAGAAAAAAGGACCAGATCAATATTGAAACAAAAAATAAAACTGTGAGATTTATTGGAGAGCTTGCCAAGTTTAAGATGTTCTCCAAAAATGACACCCTGCATTGTTTAAAGGTTAGTGTTGGTAAGACATGTAGTTAGAAAAGTACAGTACTTGTTTGTAATGCATGAGATCATCTTCCCACTCCCATCCTCCATTTTTCTATTGTTAAAGATTTTGTTGTTGTTGTTGTTGTTGCATAAAATATTGGAACCTTGATTTTCTTGTTACTTTTGGTTTAAAAAAAAAAAGTTTGTTTTACAGTCACTTTAGAAACATCCCTGGAGTGTTTTAATCTCCCATAGTAAAAAATCTATTACAATATACTTCCCTATTGGGATATGAGAAAATGACTTGCTGCTAATTGTTTTTCTCAGAAGGTAGTTGTAAGCAATCCCTAATCATCCATCCAAACTTCCTTGCAGAGCTGGAAATGAGCTTTTTGTTATTACTTTGTTTCTTATTACTTCTCCAATAAAAAGGAAACTTTTCAGTGACTATAAAAGAGAGGCTGATATGCCACCTCAGTAGGCAGGCATGTACCATTTATTGAGGAAAAAGTAAATCATCTCAGAACATTGAGCTCCAGCTGTTTAGTCCCAGAAGCCTATGTGGTATTAAGGTTAAGTTTATCTTCTCTTCACAATTGATTTTAACTCAGATTTTTAAAATAAAATAAGATGTTTATAATAGGACATTGTAGATAAATATGTTTTCAAGTAGCTTCCAGTGGTGGTGGTGGTAATTTTTAGATCTAGTTAGTTACTAAAACTGAATTTTAAAAATCAGATAAACTAATCATTTATGCAGTTTCTCTAGTAGCTGGTGAGTATCTGGATAGTACTATAAAATGCGAAGTCCTATTCTTTGTATCTGTTGCTCAGCTTGAACAATAAAACTAGATTAGTTAATTTCACTTTTGGTTAATCATGTGCTTGTACAATATTAAGTGTTGGTTTTCCAATCTAGCAGAGCAAATTTTAAAGCAGGTATGAATTATTTTTAAAAAGTGTGCATTATCATTTTTTTAAAAGTTGTGAGTTTTCTATAGTAGGTTTTGTAAACATCCTATTTTTTAAATGTACAAATCCTATAGAACCTAAACCACCACTTTACACAATATTACTTTCTTATTAAAAGGAAGTTTCATAATGAAATGGCATGAGAACCGTGCCAGTATCTTAGCACTCAAATTGAGATGAAATATAATTTCAGTTTTTTAAAACCGTTTTAATAATAACTATCTAGTTAATAAAATCATATTTATTAGTGTTCTTATGAGTGGAAAAAGAGGTTCAAAATGTGGTGATTGTGTGTATATTTACACAGATGCTTCTGTCAGACTTTTCTCATCACCATATTGAAATGGCATGTACTCTGCTGGAAACGTGTGGAAGATTCCTATTTAGATCACCAGAGTCTCACTTAAGAACAAGCGTTCTTTTGGTAAGATAAACTATAGCCGTTTTGTGGTAGAAAATCATGTACTGAATTCAACTGTCGTCATTGTCTTTTCTTTGTTTTGCAGTTTTGTCATACAACCTGGCAATAATGGCCATAACGACCGTAACATCAACTAATGCAAACTTTAATTCGATTTTATCCCCTACTAAAATAACAGAGTTTATAAATAGTGTTTTTCATATAAAACACCACAAAAATCTTTAGAATTAATTTATTGTGATCTAAAGCAAAAAGGAAAGTTTTCCCATATGATATTGCTTCCACAAACTCCTACTTTTAGAACTGAGTGCTGAGCTGTTCAGACCTTGGACTCTTAGGCCTGGTCTACACTGGGGGGAGGCGATCGACCTAAGATACGCAACTTCAGCAACGAGAATAGCATAGCTGAAGTCGATGTATCTTAGGTCGACTTACCTCGCTTCCTCACAGCGCGGGGTCGACTGCCGCTGCTCCCCGATCGACTCCGCTTCTGCCTTTCGCCGCGGTGGAGTACAGGAGTCGATGGCAGAGTGATCGGGGATCGATCACTACCTGCCAATCCGGTGGGTAGTGTAGACGTACCCTAAGAAGCAGTTAGAATCTTACCAAAGTCACTTGACTGAAGATCTCTAGGATGCAGAGATTGTACCTATAAAGTGAGAAATGCAGGCTCCATTTCCATTCTGTTTTTTTTTTCCTGTGTGTCTGCGGTAGTTCTTTGTTGAACTGCTGTTGAAACATGTTTTCTTGGATAATTTTGGTTTTATGTATAGCTTAAAATTTAATTGCTGTTTAGAGCAATTCTAGGGCCCTACAAATTTCTATGCATCAGAGCAGAGACTAACTTTTAAAAGTAGAGTTTAGGTACTGTTGAGAAATCTTTACAGCCCAGCACATGCTGTTTTTAGGACAGGACTTTTCTTTCAGAGATACTGGAATGTGTTTGTAGCTTACTCTTGAAGCCATAGTGGAGATAGACAAGTTTCTCAAACTTTAACACTGTTACGTTAGTCTGACTCCTTTGGCACACAACAGTTCCACTTTAGTGTCTGTATCTTTTATGATGATGTGCTGACACAAACACTTGCCAGTGTTACAGTGTAGACCTCAATGCCTTTTTGACCTATACAACCTGTTCAGTGCTGGCTGTGTTTTCATATTTCACGTGCAAGGATGGTGGCTTTCTGAATATCATGTTTATTGGAGAACTCCAGTTACTTATAAATATCCTTGTGATTTACAGGAAAGACTTACAGAGAATTTAGTTTATTGGAAGAAAAGGGGATTACATTTTAGTTAAAAGTGACAATACAGAGTCATGGGGAGAAGTCAGAGGATGAGACTGGAGGAATTAGAGTGAGTGGCCTGGGGAGCCAGTAGCTAGGAGTTGAGAAGTAGTTTGGAATAAGTTAGTTCAGAGTTCATTAACAAGGAGAGCAACTTGTTAATTGGAGTGGAAGAAGGTTGTGGAAGTGATGGTCTTATTTAATAGAGTAACAAAATCTGAACTCTTAAATCTAAGAGAAAAGGATTAATGAAGATTGTGAAAGAGGGAATTGCAGTTGTTGAAATGGATATACTTAAAGCATGAAAAGAGATGTCACCAGAGACAGTGTTGATGTGAGGACAAACGCTGGCAATGACCTAGAAATAGAGAGAGATTAACTTTTTTCTTCCATGTTTCTGGTCTGTAATTTTGAGTTCTAAGATGATGCCAAGATTTCAGGTCGGGAGAACAATTTTAAGGTCTGGTTAAAGAGACCAAATAACTAAGATGAACATGATATAAAGAAAGATTCAATGACAAAAATAATCAGTAGGAGGAAATAAGATTGAAGGCAGGAGCTGGGTAAGCAGATAGAGGGCAGATAGAGCGAGTTGCGAGTTTGCCTTTGTTTATATAGGAGGTTAGACTAAATGTTATAATGATCCCTTCTAGCCTTCAGATCTATGCATCTGAGTTATGGGAGAAGTAGATGTATTTCAGTTTAATTTTAATACAAGTGAAAGGTTTAAATCAATGGGTAACATAACTGCATGTTTTCAGACTGAAACTTTTATCTACTATTATAAACTACAACAGATTTGTTTGTTCAGCATTAACTTATCAAAAAGACTGTTAAATTGTCCAGTGAATAGGCTAACAAAACATATTACTATCTCTAAAGAAGTTTAGTACTCTAAAGGCACTGTCTATTTAGGGTTTTCAGTCCAGGGTTTTAGCTCCTTAGACCAAGGGGATAGTTCTCAATTTCTCCTGCACCTCTTATCCCATCTACTATTTTGCAGAGGAAGGCAGGGCCTTCTCCTTTTCCTGGCTCTTCATCCACTCAGTTGCCAGAGTTTAGGATCGCTGGTGACTCTCCATTGAGTGCCCAACAATGAGAACTGGCGTCAAAGTGCTGCTGCCTCTTGAGCCTTTCATGCAGTTGCAGCTTTGAATTTGATGCCCCTTGTTGTAGGGATGCAGAAGTGAAAGGAAGGGGGTGTGAGTGAGTGTGTGCGCGATGTTTTGGGTATCGCCCAATCAGATAAGGAGTTCTGCCACTGCCTTCCCCATAACCTTGGGTGCCTTTATGCTGTGCAGATTTGTTTCAGATCCCTGACATCAGTAGCCTGCCGACAAGTACAAGGTCTCACTCTGGCTTCCACCAGCTTAGTTTCCTTGCAGGGTGACATCAACAGTCCTTCCAGGCTTGTCTCCTCACGTCCATCCTCCGAGTTCTTAACTATCAGACACTCTGACTTCTGGTGCATAACTCCTGAAGGTGTGCAGTCAGCCCTCCAGTTACCAGCTCACTTTTGCACCCACACTGCACACAGTTAACACACCACAGACCTGCTTGGTAAAAATAAACAAGTTTATTTAATAGAGAAAACAGATTCAAAGATGAAATAGTAAGGGAAGTTAAATACAAGTTACACAGAAAATAAACATAAAGAAGTAACTTCAGATTTACACATCTATGTTAGATAAAATCCCTTTTCTAATACAAGTTACCTATTGCGTTTGAACAGTTTTTCCTAGCGTACCCTCTAGACATAGTTGGGATCCATCCTTCACAGAGAGCCTCCTGCTTTCAAGACTGTCCCTCAGGTTCTGGATGCCAAATCTCAGACACAAATTTGCTTTTAAAATGCTTTTTTCCTTCTTCTTTTTTTTTTTTCTTCCCCTTAGTCCATGGTGACTCATGTGTATTCAGTGTGTGGAAATCCTCTGTTAATTTGAGAGCTGGGATGTCTCAATGTCTTTCCATTAACTTTCATGGTCCACCATTGTCTCTTCCTGGCTGGACCAGGATCATTACTTGGAACTGGTTTTGTGTAAACACCTGGAGGTGCCATTCCTTGCTGTGAGGTATAGTTGAAATTGTAGTACAGATTACGAACAGTTTTCTGTATGCATAAATACATAGATTCATAACCACAGTGTGTGTATGTGTGTGTATGTATATGTATATGTATATATATATATATATCTCATAATGACCATCAAGTTCAGAACATTACAAACTTTTGTAAAAGACCTTACTTGATACACTTTTATAGTATAATAATACAGTGTTACTGGTTGGTTCAGCTGTTCATTTCTAGGGTTTAAAACTTCTGTTCTCCCTTTGGGGTGTCTGTAGCTGATTATCACAGTGGGTAAACATAATTGTCAGTTGGAGTAAGCAAGTATTTGCTATATACCTGTATGTGATTCCAGTTCAAGCCCTGATCCATTAATTTAAAAAATAATGTATTTGCATAGTATGATCACTTTTCTGTATCTTATGCTCAGCAGTAAAATGTGTCCACTTGCCCAATCTGGTATATGTGCTTGGAAAACAAAATGGGTCTTTCATCCTTTTAAAGACATTTCTCTTGCTGTGTTGCATCACTTGTAGTTAGTACAAGTTTACAAGTCAAGATAAATAAAATACACCTTTTGCCCAAGGTTCTTTCTTGATTGCTCACCTTTGGTCTTGTCTGTGCTACAAAAATTCCCCATTGTTAGCTGTTCCCACTGGTAACACATGCTGTATCAGTACTGAATGTGGTTTCACTGTAAGCATTGCCAAGGACAACCCATGTTCACGATTTCAGAAACCGTGGTTAAAATCTGCTCAGAATTGCAGGTGAGTAATTTTCCCTTGTTATACACGGGGGGGCCTTGATGTGGGAAGTTGCAGATGGCAGAGAAGCATTTGAAACATCTCATGAATTGGAAATATAGCAGATTAAGTAGATGTAGCCACTACAAGCTCTAGTACTGTCTTACAGTAAACACAAAAATCCAATTTTTTACTTAAATAGTATTATACAAATTGGATTGTAGGCTTATGTTAGCAGTAAAGGTGAACTGTGAAAAGGATTACTTTCAGAGCAAATAATTTGGGGCCACCCCAAGGGAAAATCTAATTAGGTTTAAAGCCTTTCTTAGCAGTATCTAATATGTAGAATTGTGGCCTCTTGAGTTCTGATATTTTTTAGCCTTAAGCTTTTCCTGCTGAGCATAAATTTTGTAATAAGGTCTCCAACTAGCTGTGTCTTACAATAATTGGCAGTCACACTGCAGCTAACTGGATCATTTCCTACCAATCACATGCAAGGATCCATGTGGAAAATTGAAATGAGAGCAAGTTCTTGGAAATCATAGGACTAGATCAGGGGTCGGCAACGTTTGGCACACGGCTCGCCAGGGTAAGCACCCTGGCGGGCCGGGCCAGTTTATTTACCTGCTGACGCGTCAGGTTCGGCCAATCGCGGCCCCCACTGGCCGCGGTTCGCCGTCCCGGGCCAATGGGGG